TTTTTTTTTTATTTATTATGTGTACAGCATTCCTTCCATGTGTGCCCCACAAGCCAGAAGGGGGCGCCAGGTCTCATCACAGATGACTGTGAGCCACCATGTGGTTGCTGGGAATTGAACTCAGGACCTCTGGAAGAGCAGTCAGTGCTCTTAACCACTGAGCCATCTCTCCAGCCCCTAATTTCTCAATCTTGTCTTTAGTCCCTGATGTTAACTTTCTGCCTAGGTCACTTCATTTGTGATGTTTTAGTGAAAAATTTTTTTTTAAATATTTATTTATTTATTATGTATACAACATTCTGTCTGTGTGTATTCCTGCTGGCCAGAAGAGGACACCAGACCCCATTATAGATGGTTGTGAGCCACCATGTGATTACTGGGAATTGAACTCAGGTCCTTTGGAAGAGCAGGCAATGCTCTTAACCTCTGAGCCATCTCTCCAGCCCCATTGAAATTTTTTTTTTAACTTTATTTTTTGTGCATTGGTATTTTGCCTGAATGTATGTCTGTGTGAAGGTCAGATCTTGGAGTTACAGAGAGTTGTTAGCTATAGTGTGAGTGGTGCTGGGAATTGAACCCTCATCCTTGGGAAGAGCAGCCAGTGCTCTGAACTGCTGAAGCTAGCGTGTGCAGCTTCTGGCTCTGCCACTTCCTACTCTCTTTTCACTTTCGTGTCTGAGGATGCTGGTGGGGAGGTATGTGTTTCCTTTAGGGGTGAGCATTTCGTAGTCTCTTATTTTCTGCACCTTGGCCAGCTGTGGTTTTCTGTGGTAATCACCATCTACTGCAAATAGGAGCTTCTCAAATGGGAGTTGAGAGACGTAAAGGAGCACAGAAGGTGGGCAGGGCATGAGTTCTAAGGTCACAATGCTTATCCAAGTTTTGAATAATGTCTTCAGCTATTTATTTGAGTAGTCATTGGGATCATTGATCTTTTTAAAAACTAGATTTTCGAATTCTTTTTTCTTTCAACCATTTTGGTGTCTCCATTTCCTTGTTGAAGAGTTTTAAGTTCCCCTGAGCCTTCTTCCTGGCCCAAGAGTAGTTTCTAGTATAGGGAAGGGGGTGCCAACACTCTGGTCTTCAACTGTCAGAATTAGCCAGCTGGACTTAGTTTAGTTGATCCTAGTTTTGTTGGCAACATCTGGAGCATTATAATCAGGAGCCAACGGAACGTACACCTTCTCTCAGGCCTTCTGTGGGTGTTGACTTTGGCCACATCAGTGTCATGGCTTTACAGCCTGTGTGATCTGCAGCTTGCTGGCCATGACACCCACAGCAAGCAAAAGTGTGTTGTCTTCTGTTTTCTTCATGGCTGACTCAGTGGTTGGAGGCATTGTATGATGGCATAGTGGTCAAAGTGTTTCTCCTGGGTGAGCTTTTTCAAGGGTCTTGGGCTGCCGGAAGGTGGGTGATGTGTGGGTCTTCCTTTTGTGGCTATGGGTGCCTTTCAGCACTGCCTTCTTGGCCTTTGCTTTGGCTGCAGCTTTGGGCAGAGGAGCAAGAGCTTCCTTTTTTGCTTTTGGTACCATGTTGGTGAACAGGTCTTATTTTGTCATGCTGTGGTGATTTTTAGAGTACTAATAGAAAACAGAAAGAAGTAGCCAGGAATATTTATCAGGTATTGAGATTTTACATATTTATTTGTTGTGTATGGGTGCACGTATTTGTGATTGCATGTGTTATTAAACCAATCTTGGGTGTCATTCCTAAGGAGCCATTTCCTTTGTTTCTTTTGATACAAGATCTCACTCTGGAACCTGGAGCCCATAGGTAGCCCAAGGCAGCATCTCTGCTGAGATTATGAGCGCACTCCACTGTTCCCATCTCTTTATGTGGTGCTGGGGGTTCAAATCAGGTCCTTATGCTTGTGGAACAAACACTGCCAACTAAGCCATTTCCCCAGCTCCTGTTGTAATGCTTATGATGTGGATTTATTTTTCTAGACAGACACATGTCAAAATTTATGAAATTTACTCAGTATTAGAGGTCTGTGTAAAAGCTTCCACAACCACAAAGCCTCTTGTCTTTTTTCATATTCTACATATACATTCTTTCTTACTGTGTTCTATCGTCTACCTTTCTTTGATATCCATTGTAATTTAGCTTTAGAATATACTACTTGATACTTTTACGCCTTTAATCTTAGCACTTTGGAGGTAGAGACAGGCTGCTCTCCGAGTTTTTTGAGGCCAGCCTGGTTTACAGAGTGAGTTCCAGGACAGCCAAGGCTACACAAAGAAACCCTGACTCAAAAAATAAACAAAATAAAAGTATGTATGGTATTTTGCCTACGTGGGTATCTCTATGTCTCATGTGCATGCCTGGTACGTGAGGAGGCCGGAAGAAGGTCTTAGATCCCATGGAACTGGAGTTACATATGGTTGTGAACTGCCATGTGGGTGCTGGGAATTGAACCTTGGTCCTCTGGAGAGCAAATAGCCTCTTTACCTTCCTTCAGCCCCTAAAATTCTTTAAAAATGTTTTGGAGAGCCGGGCGGTGGTGGCACACACCTTTAATGCCAGCACTCAGGAGGCAGAGGCAGGCAGATCTCTGTGAGTTCGAGGCCAGCCTGGTCTAGAAGAGCTAGTTTCAGGACAGGAACCAAAAGGCTACGGAGAAACCCTGTCTCGAAAAACCAAAAAAAAAAAAAATGTTTTGGAGGGGTCTAGAGAGATGGCTTAGGGGTTAAGAGCCCTTATGTCTGCTCTTATAGAGAACCTCGGTTCAATTCCCAACAACCATGTGGCCGCTCATAACTGCCTGTAACTCCAGTTCCGGGAATCCAGCACTCTCACCCAGACATGCATGCAGGCAGAACACCAGTCACATAAAAATAAGCAAACCTTTTTTTTAAAAGGTGCTGGAAATAAAAACAAAAATCATATTAAAATTTTATTTAAGCTGAGCAGGGGTGGTGCACACCTTTAATCCCAGCACTCAGAAGGCAGAGGCAGGTGGATTTTGAGGCCAGCCTGGTCTACAGAGTGAGTTCCAGGACAGGCAGGGTTACACAGAGAAACTTTGTCTTGAAAAACAAACAAAAAAAAAAGAAAAGCATTTTTTTTTTAATTAAATAATTCTTTAAAGGGGGTCTGGAGAGCTTGGCTTAGTGGCTAAGAGCACATAGTGCTTTGGCAGAGGACTGGAGTTCAGTTCCTAAGTCAGGATGCTCATGACCCTGTAACTAGACTCTGGTGGGGTAGGTTTCCTAAGGCACTTGCACTCGTGTGTACACGCAGACACATGCACCATGTGGGCTAGTATGTTAGGATTAATACATGCTAGGAAGCCTCAAGTGAGAAAATGTCACCAGAAGATTGGTTTGTAGGGAACCTTTTAGGGCTTTTCTTAATTGTGTGTGGTGCCTTCCCTGGACTGGTGTTCCATAAGAAAGCAGGCTGAACAAGCTACAGGAAGCAAACCAGTAAGCAGCACCCTTCCACGGCCTCTGCGTCAGCACCTGCCTCCGTTCCCTGACTCTTTGATGACGAACATAGCAATTTTGCACATTATAATACACAGCTAAGTTAATTTTTTTTTTTTAAGAGACGGAGTTTCTCTGTGCAACAGCCCTAGCTGTCCTAGCATGCGCTCTGTAGACCAGGATGGCCTCGCTTGCCTCTGCCTCCCAAGTGCTGGGATTAACGGTGTGCACCACCACCACCCAGCTAAATTCAAAAAGGTTTTTAACTCTTACCTCCCAGTTTTTTTTTCAAATTAATTATGCATACAGACGTCATTCACACAGCACACAGACAGCACAGAGACAGAGACATTCATACACAGAGACACAGACACATTACAACACAACACACAGTACAGACTTACCTTACCTGGGACTCGAACTGGTGACCTCGGGCTCTGCGGGGCTGCGCTCCAATCCTCTCAGCCAGCTCTCTGACCATTTTATCTCCCAGTTTTGATTCTTAAAAAGCAAATGATTTGGCACACACCATTGACTCCAGTAATGGGGAGGCAGAGGTAGGTGGATCTCTGAGTTCAAGGTCAGCCCTGCTACACAGCCCTGGATGACCTGGAACTTGACAAGTATGTAGATCAGGCTGCCTCAAACTTGGAGTGATCCTCTTGCTTCTTACCTCATTGAGTGTTGTGATTATTATAGGCATGTGCCACCGAACATGGTCCTGGTGAATGTTTATCCTATTTAGTTCTCTTCAACTTCAACATGGAGAACTGGTTTTCCCATAATAAAAAGAAAAATTATGTGCCTTATTCATCGCATGTTTTGGTAGAGGTTTTTTGTTGTTGTTGTTGTTGTTGTTGTTGTTTGTGTTATTAAAGACAGCTTCTTACTGTGTAGCACTAGCTGGTTTGGAATTTGCTATGTAGACCAGGCTAACTTCAAACACATAGATTTGCCTGCCTCTGCCTATCAAGTACTGAGATTAAAGGCACGTACCATCATGCCTGGCCTTTCACAGGCGTGTGTGTGTGTGTGTGTGTGTGTGTGTGTGTGTGTGTGTGTGTGTGTGTACGTACACGGGCTAGGTTTGACTGGCCTTGTAATTGAGATCCTATTGCCTCAGTCTGAGTACTGGGGTTGCAGGTGTGTGTCACTGCACCTTGCTTACATCAGTTTTTTACGTATTTACTGAATGTCGTATTGTTGTTTTGTAGAATGGAGATGTATGCATTTCAATTCTTCATCCGCCTGTAGATGACCCACAAAGTGGAGAACTGCCCTCTGAAAGGTGGAATCCCACTCAGAATGTGAGGTAAGGTGTTAGAAGAGATGATACTTGCCAAGCTTTGTTCACTGCTTTCTATTTTTATTGTTTTTTTTTGAGACAGGATTACTCTGTGAAAGCCCTGGCTCCTGGAACTCTGTTTGTAAACCAGGCTGGCTTTGAACTCAGAAACCTATGTCTGCCCCAGGTGCTGGGATTAAAGGCATGCACCACTACTGCACAACTATTTTTGAGACATTCTTATTATGTTGCTAAGATTGACCTCAAATTGCTGGGCTCAAGTAAACCCTTTATGTCAGCCTCCCAAACACACCAGACTGCAGACACTTGCTACTTGAGTCGTATGTTGGTGTCTCACTCTGTGTGAAGCTGTGAAAGAACTCCCTCCTGGGTTTGATAGCTCCTCTCTGGTTAGAGCACCAAAGGTTCAAAGGGGCATTGTGGTGATCGGAGGCCAAGAATGCTGCAGAAATCAGAAATTTATTGGGGGGTGGGTGAGAGGCTAGTTCTGAGCTGGGGCGAGAATGACCCTCCCTCCCTCCCTCCCTCCCTCCCTCTTTTTTGGTTTTTAAAGACAGGGTCCCAGAACTAGCTCTTGTAGACTAGGCTGGCCTCAAACTTGCAAAGACCTACCTGCCTCTTCCTCCTGAGTGTTGGGGTCAAAGACGTGCGCCATCACTGCCCGGCGCAAATACATTTCTTTTTTTTTCCTCCTTTTTTTTCTTTAATACATTTCTTAATTCCTCAAATATCTTTTATTCACTTATGGGGAGAAATAGCTGATAGCTGTCTATATATATCATAGCTCACATATATATATATATATATATTTTTTTTTTTTTC